AAAAGGTCCATTTCGCAATAATAAAATTGCTAGTGGTCGTTAAATTAAAGTTTTATTGCCGTAGGACTTCATAAAATTTATTTCTTCCTGAAATTTTGTTTCTGTCGTAGGTATAATGAATGGTACAATTTATGTCGTTAATTACATCTATGTATAAAGACTTCCATTAATCGAAAAGAAAATATTCCGAAATGCCAAAGACAGTGGTCACATTTAGGACTTTTATAATACGTACATAATAAAATCGAAGAGCTATAAAACCTTGTTTTGCTTATGTGTGCAATGTATACAGTATTGTAATGCATAAAAGTAATTCAGGAAAGTATTTTAGCTAAAAATGCGATTGTAATTAAGGAAATGTACGAAACCATTTGTGCACTCCGGTTAGAAACTGCTTTGTTTTGGGTGCGGTGGAAAAGAAAAGGTTAGAAGCATTCGAAATGTGGTGTTACTGGTGGCGAATAGATAATTGAGAACTTCCCCTCTCTATCTATCCCTATAGCTGCCCTGTCTTAATCAAATATTACCGAGCGGCATGACCTAGAGGTTTAATCCAATGCTTAGCATTCGGGAGGACGCCGGTTCGATTCCGGATCCGTCTGCCTTGGTCCAAGTTTTTCTGTGGTTTCCTTGGATCACTTGGGCAAATGCTGGGGCAGTAATATTCCACAGATAATCTTTCATTCCCTTCTGGCGTCATTTCGTTCGTCTTATCTTTCTCGCCCGAACTACCACCCACCCATTCCCACGATTCCTGAAGGGAGTTTGAAAAGGGCTTTCCGGCGTAGTCCAGAGGGACTGCCCGCTCATCTGCATTACTGGCCGGTGGGAGTGAAACACCCAAAAGCTTTTTTTTTAATAAAATATTAATTGCATCTTCGATATAAAGATTCAAACTTAGTTGTAGTAATGTCTATATCCTTGAGTAACTCTCTAATATTTGCTGGAACATAGTTTGATGCTTAAATTCGATAATCACCTGTTGCTGTTCATACAAATTATTTTTCACTTTTTGGTTCCTGTATCAGGTATCATCCCTGCATTTTAAAAAAACTCTTGCGTTAAATGTTGTAGCTCCAACAAATATGCATTTGTTACTTTTAATAATACGAGGGTGGATTGATAAGTTTCCGGCCTAACCAAGAGATGACGCCACTAGGCCTACCTTGAGGTGACATTCTATAGTACCATCCTTGGATAGCTTGTAGCTATAGTTTCAGCCCGATCTCCTTGCTAGTGTAGGTTTGACAGCACNATATTTGCTGGAACATAGTTTGATGCTTAAATTCGATAATCACCTGTTGCTGTACATACAAATTATTTTTCACTTTTTGGTTCCTGTATCAGGTATCATCCCTGCATTTTAAAAAAACTCTTGCGTTAAATGTTGTAGCTCCAACAAATATGCATTTGTTACTTTTAATAATATAACAATGTTTGTATATATGAGGGTATAAAAATCTCTTTCTTAAATGCCGAAATCAAAAGACAGATGTAATAAAATTTCGTTAACGATTCATCATAAATCATAACCTTTTGGATGTTTTATGTGTATGTACAGGGTGTCATATTTAAAGTACAGTTGATATAAGAATGGTTTATGGTTAAGGGACAAACAAATTTGGAAATTTCACACATTTCTACAATTGGTACTTGACAAAAGGATTTTAAATTTCATCTCACAATCAGAGAGAGATCTAATTCGATGGAATTATTACATAAATCGCTATTGCTTTAGTAGTAGGTAGTACTTCCTACATTCTGATTCAAATTAACTGTCAACCTTTTAGATAAATTCGTGATTTGTTATGACGTGGAAGACAAACTTTACAATAAGATACAAAGACATTTTGGACAATTTATGAATTTTTACTTTCCGAAAGTTTGAAAACCAGTGGCTTTTATTACTTTTTCTTTTATGGATTTTAAAAAATCACATAGGAACTTTAATCAGTATATATGAAATTTTATCTCAGAAAGAGGTAGGAATAGAAGTTCCATTTTTGGATACTAGCTAAAAACATGTTAAATGGTAGAATGGTACTAACCTTCAAAATAGCTCAAGCTTTATGAGATAATTTCGCGATTTCTCATGCCTTGGGGCACAATAATAAGACAGTAATATTATCATAATAATTATCATTAAAAGTTATGTTTTTTAATTTTATCAATTTTTTGATAACCCGTTGGGTACCTTTATCATTTTTTCCCTTGTGGAGGAAGAAGAATATCAAAACTAGTACTTAATTGATAAAAATATTTTATATAAAAGGAGTATCTACCGTTGAATTTTATCTCAAAAGGGAGATAAGAATCAAATCCGTTTGGGTCATGAAAGAAAACGCCATTATTGGGCACCCGGTAAAAATGACACTCAAAAGTGATACCTACTTTACTTTTTCGTGATAATAGTTGACAAAATCTTCCGTTCGATTTAATTCGAGTATATCCGAAATTGGGGCATTTGCAAACATCTTTCATTATTATTGTAAAATGGAGAGAGATGTCTTGTTATCTTATCAGTTACTTGGAATACATGACTTTTAAGCAGCAGTCAATCTAATAACTTTTCAACAAGCTCATTATCGTCTCAGTACTAATCTGCTAAATAACCAACTTCACAAAAAGACTGTAAAAAATATTTATTGTACGTTATTGTCCATTTGATGATTTATCGACATCGACGGCCAATGATGACGGATTATATTTAGCAGATATATTTGGTGTGTTTGGTACATTTTATCCTTTACAATGAGACACGGGTGTTCGACGGTGTTGTGTGGTGGTACCCTCTATTAGTTTTGAAAGTTTCGCGTCCGGGATTGGATAGATCGGGTACCGGAAATGGAGACTACGCAAAGCCGAAAAGATCAGTCTAGTGTTCTGATTGACCAAGGGGTGAAACCGACTATAGTTAAGAATGAAAGGTATCCTAGTTCTCCAGGATCTGTTGCAAGCAACAGGTAATTTTTGCATTCAGAAATCGTCAGTGAATTTTATTTTGGAATTGAGTTTAAACTGGGGATAAGGGGTATTACTACCCTGTGGTTACGATATTTCAAATAATGATTTTTAGACAAGAACAGTTTTACATTTTGTAAAATTGGGGGTAAGAGATACTACAACTTTCTAGTTGCAATATTTAATGTGTTTTACAAAAATAAGGACAAAACTGAACAGTTCTTGTAAAATATGGGGGTGATACGTACTATACCCTGCTGGTTACAATACCTAATGTGATTTTACAAAAACAGTGACAAAACACAACAATATTTTGTAAAAATTGGGGTGAGAGACAGCATAATCTTCTGGTTACCATGTTTGATGTGATTTTACAAAAATTGTTACAAAACATTTTTTGTAAAATTTAGGGGTGAGAGACAGTACAAATATTGTGACAAAACTAAATGTTTTTTATAAAATTTGGGGGTGAGAGGTACTACAACCTTCTGGTTACGATATATAATGTGGTCTTACATGTTCAATAATTCAAAATGCCAAATACAAAAATTTATACAAAAATTGTTGTAAACCTTGACAAATCAACAATCTTTCGATAATTTTGAAATAGGACGATATTTAATGGGATTTTACAACAATTGTGTATATATTGCGAAAAGAAATTACCAAATTTGATATTGTAAAAGTTATTTAAAATTAGTATATCTGAAATTCGAGTTTCTTCATTTATTAATGGAGATCCAAGTTGCTGTAAATTTTTGAAATCATTAAAAGATAATAATAAATTCAATTTTAATCAACAGCGATACCCCAGTAAGTCTTTGTGGGTCCTTTGGCGATTTTTTGTAAGTAATTTTAATAAAAAATATTTTAGCATGAAAGCATGGTGAAAATAAAAATTATATAAGTTCGTAGGTTCATCAAAAATATTTTTTTGTGTATGTATAGGTACATTATGCCTTTTAATACATTTATATTATTTTAATATTGTAAATACTTCAGCATGTAGAAAGCTTAGTTTGAAAATACAAATAAATATGTAACAACCCTAATTCATATTTTCCTTTTTATGAAACTATCTAATATTTAACCGAATTAACAAAAATGTAAAAAAATTATAGTAGTTAATGACGAACAAGGTTATGCAAAGTAGACAATAAATTAACAAAAAAATGTGTAGACAATTAAATCATAAATCTCCCTGATAAGGTCACCTAGAGGAGCTAATATTTGGTAGATATATCTCCTTATACTTATAACAGTTTTCTAATACCTTCAGATTAGAATTATTTATCAATCATCCCCTTGTATCTTGTAAATAAAAATCAAATGTCAAATAGGGTTGAGGATACCGTGGATAGAGAAGGTTAGAAATAAAGAGGTATTAGAAAGAGTAAGAGAACAGAGGACTCTATTTGAAGTGAATAAGAAATAGGCGAGATAGGTTAGTAGGACACAATCTCAGGCATGAAGGTTTAGTCAGAGACATATTAGAGGTAGAAACGGAAGTTAGGAGGGGTAGAGGTATACCTAGATTCGATTACTGTTTGCAAATAGTTAAGAATAGGGGTTGTTCTGTTTTTAGGAACATGCGAAGATAGCCAACGTTTCGCCTTATGTTACTAATAAGACTTTTTCAAGGCTACAAACATTATAAGATCTTAATTATCCTTATGTAATTTAAACAATTGTTACCTACTATTCTACTCTACGCTTTGAAGTAGAAAATTTTTGTGAAAAAAGCCGACCGTAACACTAATTATAAGTGATTGATAAAATGATAAATTTAATTGTTTTCTTATCATTCATTGTTAGAAATTGTTTTTATAAGAGAATTCCTGTGTTGTATCGTACTGGTGCCATTTTCATCCTACAGTCGCGAAAAATAATAAAAGATCTGTAATGACCCATCGTGCAGCAATTATTAAGCGGAAGTTGAATAGACTAGTTATCTCTGCATCAGTTACCTAATGCCTAATGCAATAAGTTAATAAATATAATAAAACAAAGACATTCACGGATTTCAGGTCCGAAAGCCCAAAAATGAGCACACCAACAAATAAAATGACAAATGAACATCAGGAACAAATGATATCTTCTTGTAACAACAACAACAACAACAGCAACTACAGTGGTCCTACATCGAAAAGAACCCAAAAGCGAAAGCTTTTCTTGTACATTCCAAAACTGATAGAATCGGGTAGTTTTTCAAAACAAAAAATGAGTTCAAACTTCGACAAAATAACCGAGGAACGCTCAAAGAAATTTCCGCAGTCTCCCCATCAACCGACAACGAACGCGTCAACCATTAAATCTATTAACACCAGTGCTACGATTGTCGACATGTCGGGTGCCCTAATGGACAATAAAACAATAAATGTAGCGGCTAATAGCTTGTTAAATCTAAATAAAAGAATTGCTCCAATCCCCCCGGTGAAAACGCCGCCGCTGCTAACGCCTTTATCGCCAGTGCAAAAAGTGCTGACAATGCCAACCACGATCTACGAAGAAGAAATTGAAAAATCGGGAAAAAGTCGCGCTACAATAACCGGCGGTAGTTGCAAAGGGCATCAGGACGACGACGCCCTCGAAAGCATTTCCGAATCGCAGGTTTTGGTTACCCCCGACGAACAATCGACACCCCGGTTTCTGGTCCTTCCGCCCACCGGAAGTGTGTTGACATTAAACAAAGTTTCTCAGGACAGTGTCCGGTAAGTGGTAATTTTATATTTTTCTTAAATATAACAAGATAGGAGGGGATGGTTGGTGTTGCAACCCTGGTCTTGACATTATTGAAGACCTCTTCCTTTTTAATGATTCCATTGTAATTAAAAAGTTTACACTGTTTTTTAAAATGTTTCCGTAAAGGCATTTTTCCTCTGAATTGAAGTATTCTTTGTAATAAATATTAATCTACCCTTAAATAGATCCTTATGTATATATAACAGAGGATAGCGCAGGGTAGAGTTGCCTTTAACAAAAGGAAGTCATTTCTATGTTCGCGAACGGTTAATTTATGAATTCGAAAAAGATTGTTAAAGATATATGTCTAGAGTACGGCTCTGTATGATAACAAAAAGTGGACGGTGGGTGCGGCGGAAAAATAAAAGATTAGAAGCGTTCGAATGTGGTGTTACAGGCGAATGATGAGGATACCGTGGATAGAGAAGGTTGGAAATGAGGAGGTATTAGACAGAGTAGGGGAACACAGGACGCTATGGAATTCAATAAGAAGTCCAGGCAAGGTTTATTGGTAAGACACCTTCTCAGGCATGAACGACTAGTTAGAGATATTGGAAACAAAAACAATAGTTAAGAGGGGCAGACCTAGATTAGATTATTGATCACAAATGGTCAAAGATATGGAATGCTCAACATTTAGAGAAATGCCAAAGTCAAGTAAAGTTTTTAGATAGGTTTGATGGTTAAGGAATATTTGATG